TCTCAATTCCTATCAAGGTGAAACAGTCCTTAGCTTGGCAGATAAACCCAGTCAATGTGTGCAAAGGAGTACCTTTCCACCCACAACCACCATCTGTAACTGTCACCACACACATGTCTCTCCTTAGTTGGAGTGAATACACCAACAAACTCAGGGTGCAAGATTGATAGTCTCCAGAGGAAGCCAGCTTGCACATAAACATATTTGAGCTCAGAGCAGTAAAAAATGCTTGCCAACACTTCTTGCATCTAATCCACAATAAAGCAGTACATTTTTTATGGACAATCAGACAACCACATATTACATAAACTGTTAGGGCAGAGCCAGGTCATACCACCTCTGTATGGACCTTTAAGCCACCTACTTGCCAGGCAAGGACAATACCATGGCAGATGCCCTCAGAAGGATCTTCAATTCAAATCACGAATGGGAGTTCAACACCGATCTCCTATAACAAGTGTTCAGTGAGTGGGGATTCCCTGTGGGGGATTTGTTTGCGACAAATGTCAGTACTGTTCTTGTGCAGGTATTGGAATGTACTCCCTAGGGGATATGTTCACAATGATATGAAGTACACCACTATCAAGATAAAGCAGGACAGATCCACAGTACTATGAATCACTCCCTGTTGACCCAGACGGATATGCTATCCTTGCTTCATCCATATGTCCACAAAGAAGTCATGGCATCTCCCCATGCTCTTTCATCTCCTGACTCAGAACGGAGATATCACACACCATTCACATTTCCACATTCTCCTTCTGCAGGCAAGGTTTCTAACCAGCTCACCTCTGTAGAGGCAACATGTCCTGGACTGGTACAAAAGATTCTTCTCAATGGTTGCAGAATAATTACCAGGAAAATATACCTCTATAAGTGGCACAGATTCTCCATGTGGTGTCAACAGAAGCAAACTGCTCCTGCAACTGCCTCCCTACCTTTGGTCCTGGAGTACTTTCAAAACCTCAGGGCTCTCATTTAGCTTGCTAAAATTTCACTTGGCAGCGATAACTTTATTTCACCTCCCAATAGATGTCTGTTTTTACTCACCCTATCAATAAACGTTTTCTAAAAAGAATCCAACACTTACCCACCCAGAGTCCAGCCCCACGTTGGGATCTCAGCCTAGTACTTAGGGTGCTCACCTGAAAACCCTTTGAACTTCTTGCTACCTGTTCCATGCTACACCTATTCCTGAAGATAGCCTTTTTTAATCACCGTCATCTCTGCCAGAAGAATAGGAGAACTCTGCACTCTCATGGCGGATCCACCTTTCACAATATTCCACAAAGAAAAAGTTATTCTACACCCACACCTAAAATTCCTCTCGAAGGTCTTCATTGTCACAAACCTTCCTCTCGAAGGTCTTCATTGTCACAAACCTATTTATTTACCTGTCTTCTTCCTGAAACCCCATGTAGGTAGCAGAGAGGCTGTGTGGCACACACGAAGTCCACATAGTAGTTGCGTTTTATTTGGCCTGTACTAGACAGATATGCAAATCACCAAGGCTGTCCAGATGGATCATGGGCTGTGTTAGACTGGCTTACAATGCCTTTGGGCAGGACCCTCTGCTGCACCTATGTGCTCATTTCACAAGAGCAGTGGTGACGTCTACAGCTTACCTGTATAACATGCCTCTTACAGACATTTGCAGATCTGCCACGTGATCCTCTGCTCATACATTTACAAAGCACTGTGCACTTGAAGCTTACCTGTCTCATGACACTCAGTTTGGCCAGACAATGTTAGCTACTGTGCATGCCAGTGATCAATCGACATTCCCTTCTCTGAGCATGAGTACTGCTCCATTGTCACCAAGATGGAGCACCTACAAGGACGCGCCTCAAAGAAGTGAGGGTTATTCACCTTGTGCAGTAATGGAGGTTGTTCTTTGAGTGATGTCCCCATGGATGCTTCACTGTAGGTGCTGGGTTTGCCCCTGCGCCGCAGTACAGAGATTTTTCGCAGCAGTAGTTTGGGTGGACCGCGCATGTGCACGGAGCGTCTCTCAGCGTTTGCGCCCTTTCGCGCTACTCGGTTCAGTCTTAGCCAGTTCCTCTTAACCGCCTCAGGCTGCAGACCGAGGGAACTGCTCTCCTCGGATCATCTTGTTCATGAGGAAATTCAAAGTTGTTCTCATTTATACTTGTTTTTATAGTTATTCTCCTTTCCGTTCATTTGTTCCCCTGTTTTAAAAAAAAAGTTAAAGAATTACAGTTTAAAGTTATTGTTCTTAAGTTCTTATCTGTTTAGACCTATATAAGTTTCTGTTGGCTCCCTAGTTTAACTTAGTCACTTCCCTTCTCCCTGTTTAAAAAAAAAAAAATCATCACAACCCTGAGAAAGGAAGGAGAGAAAAATACTGAAGTATGCCTGGTTCACGACGGTTCAAAAAAATGTGCCCCCCTCAGACGGCCCTTCGTCCTGCATATGTTGTCTTGGCGAAAGCCACGTCCCGCAGAAGTGCCTCCACTTCTCTAAGCTCACAGCTAGAGCTCAACGAGACAGGGAGATGAGGCTTAGGATGATCCTGTTTGATAAGGCTCTTCAGCCTCAAGGATCTGCCTCCCCCAGTGGTCATCATGAAAGCCGCAGAAGCGAAGGGCCTCTTCTCCAACTGCCACCCCTCCCAGAAAAAGCAAGCTGTCTCCAACCTGTTCTCTGCCTGCTACTTCGCATGGCAGATTGAGTGTAGGCAATAAACCAGGCATTTCTGGGGTGTCTATGGTGCATGCTGCTGTAACGGCACCATCCAAATCAATAAAACATGCCTCTATGGTGCCAACCGCATGCCATTCATCAGCACCGACGACTGCAGCACCAACAAGTTCTGCCCACACCCCTTCGGCACCGTTGGCCAGGGAGAGCAGCCTGATCGCACAGCACCGATGACACCATCACCGCAGGCAGCACCAACCCCAGCGGCACCGCCTCTTACAACTGAGGCACCGGCACCGACCCTGGCACTGAGATGGTCACAGCCTAGGAAGGCTACCACCAAGACATACCATCAACGGAGTCACCACATTCCCCATCCCCAACTTTTTTGCCAGAGCCATCGTCGCCGTCGCCACCACCACCACAGTCACCGAGGCGATCACCAGTTAGGAGATTTTCTTCTTGGGAGTGCCTTCCATCTTGATTCCTTACCCCACTAAGGGAGCACCACCGCTACCATCACTGGTTTTCGACTTCTCCTTCTTGTTTACAAAGGAGATCTTAATCTCCATCATTGTCACCTTGCTCTCCTAATTACTCTTACAGACTACCATATAGCAGATCTCACCGTTATGATCGCTCCCCTTCCCGCTCTTCATATTACTACTGCTGCCACTAGGTTATGCTGCCACTAGGACCAGCTTACAGATAGCACTAGATGTAGCAGACACTGCAGTGCGAGCCACCGCAACTGCAGTCGTCATGAGAATGGCTTCGTACCTCCAGTCAGCAGCAGTCCCCAAAGACCTGCAAGCCAGAGTAGAGGACTTACCCTTTGAAAAATATAACCTCTTTGCAGAAAAGACGGACGCAGTATTACATTCTAGTAAAGATTCCAGGTCAACCTTGTGAACGCTCGGTATGTACGCTCCACTGTATAGGAGAAGGCGTTACACTCCATTTCAAAGGCGCTACGACTATACCCACACTAGGCAGCAGTGGCAACAACAACACCGGCCTTTAGATCAGTTGTGCCAGTGTCACCGGCCTCTGAGACGCCGTAACCAGAATAATCGCCTGCAGAGCCAACCCAACACAAGGCAGCAGGTTTGACTGCTTGGTCGGGAGCATTCAACCAGTCTTACTTACCTTTCACCCATACATTACCACCCCGCTGTTTCATCATCGCCTACTCCCTTTCTACGATCTCTTGGCAGATATCACCAATGACAGATGGGTGCTAGAGATAATCCCACTCATTTATGCCATACGCTTCCTCTCCATCTCACCTACAAACCCCCACCCCCCAAACCCATCCTTCAGGGACCCCCTCATGAAGATTTGCTCCGTACCTAAATCAATCATCTACTGCAGATCGGCACGGTAGAGATGATACCACACGACTTCAGAGAGAAAGGGTTCTACTCCCATTATTTCCTGGTGCAGAAGAAAACGGGGTTGGAGACTGATATTGGACCTCAGGCAAATAAACAAATATCTCCAGAAACAATGTTTCAAGATGGTAACCCTTGCATCTGTTATCCCATTCTTGGATCAGAATGACTGGTTTGTTGCTCTTGACCTACAGGATGCGTATTTCCATATTACAATCCACCCCGCATGCAGACGTTTTCTCCAATTCACTGTTGCCGACGACCACTACCAGTACACTTCCAAGTCAAAGGTAAGTGGAAGTGTTTGATAAAAGAGACTCCCATTTTCGGGTAATATTCTTCGATTACTGTTTATATCTATTCACAACATTTTATTTTTTCTGTTTATTCTATATTTCTTGCAAGTTTGATCTGAGTGTACTCTGGTAAGAATGGAAGATGTAAGAAGTTACTGTTCCTTTCAAATGTAGCACTTAACTGGGAATAAGGTGGTCTCAGAATGTAGTGCTTCATTCTGTGTTGTAAGGAGTAGGTAGGTGATGTGTCCAGAGCCATTCCGTAGTGCAAAGAGGGTGTGATCAGATTGTGTGGGTTTGAGGCCAGATCTTGCTACTAGGTATGTAAACTGTCAGAAGTCTGGGCCTTGCATGTGGTAACAAAAGGTCTAGATTGGATTTTGTCCTAGCCACTTAGGTCAAACTCTTTCACTTTCACACCTGCTTCACTGTGACAAGGTCAGAATCTGGCACTTAATGCTTCCACTCTGAAAATATACATTGCTACAATTAATTGTTCCTTAGCCAACTTCCTGCTTTAATAAATAAACATGAATTTTTAAAACTTCAATAAATCCTTATGGTACAGTTTTGGTTTTCAGTAATAAAAATGTTTGTGCTACAGGATCCCTTTCTCTCTGGATCAAAGTTTTCCTTAACTGTCATTTACCCTTCTTTGAAGCGTAAAGGTGAAGCAAGTGTAGAAGGAGTTCTTAATCAACTGGTCCTGGAGCATCTGCAGTTGGCTCCTCTCCAGTGGGGTGAGTAATGTCAAAAAACATTGATTATAATTTTGAATGAGTATTAATTTCTAATCTTCTGTGATATGTATCTTACAGAGATTTATTATGTAAAACCATCAAGTAATGTTTTGATAAGTTGTACTATGTGCAGTGTTGTTTGCATTATCATTTATTGATTGAAAATCTGTGATGTGGAGGAGGTTACTAGGAAATTTTTTCTATAGATGTTTTGCTCAGCTGGAGAAAATCTTATAATTTAGATATATTTTATTTTTTTAAAATTGTTTTTAAATGTACATAAGGTGATGATAGCTTCTGATATAGGTAGGCAGGAATTTGCTCTTGCAACAAGGGTCCTAATGTTTTGTAAAGAATGCAAGTTTTCTTTACTTTTTTCTGATGTTGCAGTATGTTGTATAAAATAAGTTTTGTGAATCTTTATTGATGATCTGTGAAACTTCAAGTATATTTTTAATCTATTCTAGAGATTTATATTACATAAAGTACGCCCTTGTACTTCAAGGGTGATTGTTTGGATAGTATGGAAGAGTATTTTCTCACTCCATCAATTGTGTGAGTGCAATCAGTTAGGCTTGTAATGGTTCCTGTGTAAGAGTGGCAACAGTATTCATTCAAGAGCCTGTGGTGGTGATTTTTACAGAATTTGAGATGGAGTTTAGGGGCATATTTCCCAGTGATTTTCATTAGGACTTGTGTTTCTAACTCCCATAGGAATATGTGAAAAATCTCCTTCTGCATTTGTTGTATAATTCATTTTATTTAAAATGAAAGCTCTTTTGGTGGTTCTCAGTCTCATTTTTCCCAATTTTGGTTTTCCTTCAACTTGCAAATTCAGTTACTTCCTTACTATAGTATGGGCTAGGAACTATGAAAAGTAAATACCATTTTAAGTAGGGTTAAAAGATAACTCGGTAGATCAGGTTCAGATATTTGGTATGTCAGGATTTGTTTTGACTTTCAATACCTTTCTTTTCTGTGCCATGATCTTTGATTTCTTATATGGAGTCTAATAGAAGGCTGAGAGATTGTGTCTTTTGTCAAGGATTTGAACAATCATGTCTGTTTCCAAGGTTTGTGATATTTCCTGCATTATAGCCAAGTGGGTTGAAATATCTTCAAGCCTACAGTGTAATATTCTTAAAGCATAGGATTCTATAAGGATTCTATGGCTCCAAAGCAATATATAATATTGTGGAAAAAAGGTATGAATGCTATGACATTGCTGAGGCAATAAAATCAGAGGTAAGAAAATGCAAAGCTAAGGAGTCAAGTTGTGCAAGCAAAGAATATGGTCTTTTGATAATCCATGCCTCGTATTCTTGTTAATCTCTAAAATTTTCCATATCTGCATATATTGTCAACTGTAACAAATCATTTTTAGGTACCATGTCAAATTTTATGTTAGTATGGGAACTGTGAATTATTTCCCTGGCTTTGTGTTTGTGTAAAATCCCTACTAGAATTCTACATTGCTTTTTTTTTTTTTTTTTTTAGGAATTAAAAACAATACAAACCAACCAACCAACCCTCCCAAAAAACAAAGCACCGAGAAAACACAACAATAATAAGAGAGTAGGAAACAGAAATGTAAAATAAAGTAAATGGAACCTATTTAAACATGCACTCATTAAATCATGTGTTCACTTGAGGTTCCACATGCTTTGGGCTAGCAATTCCAGGGTGAAATAATTTCAATATGTCTCCACTGGCTTCCATTGCAAGAGGCCTACAGCAATGGGTGCCACTTCTGATGCAGTTGGAAGTGATAGGCACAACTTACAGATGAGACATAGTGTTATTGGCAGTTCTGGGGAGCTAAAGGGTGTGTGTGAGTGTATATGGTTGCATATGTGTATATAAAATATGGTATCCTTTTGTCATTCATAGTTTAAATTGGTAGGGAAAATCACATACTGTATGCAAAGTGATTTGTATTGACTCATGAGTAAACATAGGTGCCCAGGAATACCTTTTGTTAAACACAAAGCCTGAAATTCAAACTGTTTTCACCAGCAGTGCAAAAATCTATAGAAGTGGTGGAAACACAGTTTGTAAGTGCTCTGGTAACTATTAAATGGCATAACAGATTTTGTTCAGAGTTCCTAAACAAATTAAATTCCCGCTGAGTAAAATCATGAAAAGTGGCAGTCACAGAGGAAACTTGCATCTGAGAAATGATCTTTGGCTTTTTAACTAACTGTAATCACTTCACACACACATAATATATATACTGCAGGCCTTAATTTCACTCTAACTATGATTCTATACTAACCACATATATATGTTTAAATTATTTAAAATGGACAATAAAGTTTAAACCATTCAGTTCCTATTCATATGTGACAAATGAGTAGCCAGATTTTGAACATTGATGAGATGTGATCAGAATTTAATTGGTATTGAACTCAGTCAGCTAGAATGGGCTGGTTCATTTCTCCCAATTCCTGATACAGCTAATATGAATTGTGAATTTTTTAAAGGCATAGTGATAGTATTTATGCTTTAAATATGTTTGTGTGTCAGTTGTATGGTATGGATTAGTTTATGTAGCAAAAGCAGCCGGTGATAGAATTTTCTAAAGCGGAAGTATGAGTAAGGAAGAGAAAGTAACATTTAAAAGCAGGTTTAATGTTTTTTATGGATGTTTCTGTTAAGAGAAATTTAACATAAACTGATATAGTTGAGCTAATATAGCAAGCTGAAGTCTCTATGGAAAAAGGTGATTAATATGATTTCTTATAATAACAAGTTGGACTTTAAAAAGCTGTGTACTATAGATCACTGCTGGACATTATTAAAATTTTGGTTTCAAATGTATTACAGTCTTCTGGAATTTAAGAATGCAAAATGTAGATCAAATTAAGCAGATTTTAGCATTATTTTGCTTGAATGTTTGTTTTACAACATTTCTTTTTTTGATATACCATCATTTTTCATGAGGCAGTTTAGTGTCCACTGTTTGCAAAGTTTTTTTTTCCACTTAAGCATTGGTGTTTGAATAATTAGAAACTGGTTTTGCTTTGAGTTTTGTTATTTGATGCTGTTATGTGAGAATTGCCTACATATGATGAAGCTACTTGTACAGTATGGTACATCACTTATTTGTACGGTGCTTGTTTGTATTGACTGAGGATTTTGTGACAGTGTTTGCAGTTAATGCTGTATGACACGAACTTAGTCTTCTGACACTCAGGCCCTATGCTATCTTTAGGAAAAGTTGAATGGTATAATGAAAGATTTACTGTAATTCATCTGTTTTAATTAAAACTTCCATGAGTACTTAACAAGAAAGGTGACCTTTATAGCTTTATAAAAGCTGTTTTCTAACCTTAATATTCCTTTTAAATTACAATTTGTTATATATTAATGCGTTGTTTTAAAAAATTCTGGATACATTTTAAAAGTTTGTCTTGTACCTTACAAAATCTGCCTTGCTTTGGTTAGGTAATTGGGCAGAATACATACAATAGTCTGGTGGGGTAAATAAAAAGTTAAGACCTATATAAATCATTGTTAATGGTAACTAAATTGTTTATCTGAGTGATTCGGAGTCAGGTCTGTTTTGAGTGGCAGTAGGAAGAGGGGAGAAAAAAGTTCCCGTTCTATAGACTCATTTACAGTGAATGTGGTGTGAAATCCTAATATTATTTAGTGATTTGGGAAAGATGCAAAGTGGAAAGAGAAGCTGATCAGTGTAAAAGTTTGAAAAAATGGAAAGCTCAGAAAGAAGGAAGGTGTATCCTTTATGTGAGTATTTTTAATGTGCTATTAAAATAAATTTTAATATGTAGACTGTCTCTTTAAAATAGTTGTCTATTAAGTGTACTAAATTACACACAATTGAAAAATATAATCTTGCTTAACACTACGAAGTTCAACACTTTCTAAAATTTATGGCATATTTTCTTTGTATTTGCTGGCATCAAACCAAAAGTGGGAATAGTCTTTTTTTTAGAAGTGCATATATGTTACCATAATCAGATCAAAGAAACCTAATCTTAGAAATGCTTAATAAGCAAAAAGGTTATTCTAAAGAGAATATTAATGGAAGTTTCATGGTTGGTTTTCTGAGAGACCAAATATAATTGCTTGAGTTGAAACATTTTTCTTTTCTGATGTCTCTGTGTATTAAGAAAACAAAATTATCTACAGACCAAACCTTTATCAGTCTATTAATACTGTTCTGCCTTTTATAGTGAATTTATCACAGGTACAGATCTACTGAGTTAACTGTTAATGCTTAACAATAAATGCATAATACTATTACAGTATTTTAATGCATATACATAACAATTATTTGAATTTATGATGTATCTGTGTTCCAAATAATATTTTTTATAATAAAAGAAAGGTACAGAGGTAGGACTGCTTTTCTCACTTTTTAAAACTGGGAGCATGGAATTTCTGATTTCTAATATCAGTGCTGACTCCTCTTGAATGAATTAAACTAGGACAATGAACCTTTTTTGGGTCGGGGGCCACTGATCCACAGAAAAATTAGTCAGGGGCTGCACACAAGGGAGAAGTAAAAAACCAGAAACAAAAACAAAACAAACCCTCACTGACAAGGCCCCGATGGAAAAGGAGCCACATTCTCCTCATACACCAGAGCCTAGGGGAGCCCACACTAATAGATTTTGTGTGCTGCAGACCCATGGTGGCGCAGCAGGGGAACTGGAATGCCAGTTTTAGGTGATACCCTTAGTAAAATCTTGAATGAGCTTGTATATTTTCTATGGAATGAAAATGGTGCTAGAGTAGATTTGCTCCCCAAACACTGTGCATGTACTTCTAGCCAGTTTATATGAAACATGGTTATCTTCAAGCATTACACACTTCAGTAAATTGCATTTTCCACAGTGTGAGTTAAGAAAAAATAGGATTGTTTATATAGAACATAAAGCATTGAAGAGTCTAGTTCATGATTAAGAAAAGTAGTGCTAAATAAATAGCTGTGTTCTTGATTGCCAGTTTATAAGTATGGAATTACCAAAACC